GAGTATCGTCTCACCAAGGATGCTTTCCAGCTACCTGGAGCAGCGAGCAAGAGTGCGCAATACATGGAGGGTTTGGTTGAGATCGGGACATGTGGTAGAGCGAGCATGTGGTGTGGAAGTGTCGACGGCTTTGGCAGTGATGGTTGTGAGACAGGCGGTCGTAGCAGCTTGCTTCTGTCGGCAGAACCACCTGGTGAAGTGAGTCATGTTTGTGATGCGTGCGCCGCTCGTTCAGCCTCGGGAGGGACGTGTACTTTGCCCCAACGTGGCCCCAATTCGAAGTCCTCCGGTGATGGGCGAGCCGGTGCTGCAACGATGGAAGGAGCTGACCCACGAGATGCTGAAGCACGTGACCCGCGAGGACGCCCGACGAGCTCACGAGCGACAAGTGGATCGCAAGTGTCCACATCCTCCGGAGTCAGTGGTGAACGGGGCGAATCAGTACGGCAGCTGGGAGCGATGCTTGCTGTGCCAGACCAAGCTGAGCTACACGCCCCATCGCGTGAAGCCCCCGCCAAAGAAGAAGGGCGCCAAGCTGGAGGTTGCCTACCAGACGCAGACGGTGCCCAAGATGAAGGTGAGGGACCAGCCGGCCGAGAAGGCAGCGAGTCACTCCGGCAGCTCCAGCGACTCCAAGGAGATGATCGAGGCTCTGGGAAGGGTGATGCTGCAGAGCACCACTGCCCTGCAGGCGACGATGGCGGAGTCGAACCAGCAGGTGATGATCGGCCTGGCCGAGAGCAACCGCCAGGTGCTGACCGGGATTGCCACGATGGTGGACTCCGTACACGCGCTGCGAGGCGAGGTCGCGGCAGCGGTTCGAGCACAACCTCCAGGGCAAGATCAGGACATGCCGAACGGCCAACTGCCACCACGTCAGTGAGGGGGGCGTGCTCCGGGAACATGCAGCGGCAGGCCGACGGCACCTACCACGTGGTGCTGAGGAGCGGTGAGCCGGTGGAGATGCCTCAGGTTTTCTATGAGGGGCGGGCGACGATGGGCAAGCCAGTTCACGGACCCGGCGGACAAGCTCAAATTCCATGCTGCTGGAAGCTCCCGAACCTCGACTACCTCCTCCACAATGAGGATCTCCTGGATGAGTCCCACGTGACGATCACCACGGCGTGGATTTCGGCTGGCGGGCGAGCTGCACGGGCGAAATCCAAGCCGTGCCAAGCCTCGTGTGTGGGAGGTCTTCGACGGACTTCGGCTTGATGCTGAGGACCCCCACTGGAAGGAGGTGGTGGCGCTGCAGACTTTCAGTCCCAGAAAGGGATGGCACTGTAGCAGCCATCGGTGCAGCAGCAGCTTTTGGAAGCAGTTTGCCAATGACCGGCCCGACCTCGTCATCATGGCTCCTCGCTTCGCCGGTCAGATCTATCGAGAGGTGGACACCGAGAACAAAGGTCCCCGGCAGATCCGACGTGAGGAGACACTTATTGGGGGAGAGGCCAGTGATCTCAACTTTTGTGTTCACGTTGCCTTGGACCAGCACCGAGCCGGACGCAAGTTTCTTTTGGAGTGTCCGCAAGCCTACGGGCAAGAGCTCCGGGAGCAGGTGTACAGACCTCT